TTGCAATGCGGTGTTGCGTTGGGCAAGGTACTGTCCCATGCCCTATAACAGAGGGAAATACTGTTCTTTTTCATAGGGCCTTTCCAGCATCTTTCTATCACTGCTTTTGTTGGAAGGGGGCTCTGATCAGGGGGTTGTTGTTGCTTGTTTACGTGTGTGTTGATGATCCCTTTTAGTTGTAGGTACGTGAAAATATCGTTTGTTGGCAACTCCCATTTCGTTTGTATGTCCGTGAAGGGTAATATTTCTTGCGATTGCATTATCTGGTGAATATGTCTAATGCCTGCATGTACCCATGTCTGTAGACGTATGTCTGGTGATATGGCTCTTAGGGCGGTCAGAGGTGCGTTGGGGTGGAATGTTTCTTTGGCCCCTACTGTATCTAAGAATTTAGACCAAATGTGGACGGTCAGTGTTGTGGTGGGGTATAGGTTTGGTTTGTCTGGTCTATGTTTTTTTGGTGTCCATAGGAAGTCGAGCGTTGCGTTTTTGTCCAGTTGGGCTCTTTCCATATCTACCCATTGGATGATACCCCGATTTAAATGCATCAGTATGCCCGATGCCAACATCGTGGCTTTATAATACTGGTTTAGGTTGGGTAACCCTACTCCTCCATTTTTAGGATGTTTGTAGAGTAAGGTGCGGGATATGTGCGGTTTCTTGTTTCCCCATATGAATGAGCTGCAGATGTTTTGTAGGGAGTTGAGGAGTGTTTGTGGGGCTTGGATGGGTAGCATTCTAAATATGTAGAGAAGTTTGGGCAGTAACATCATCTTGTATGCGTTAATTTTTCCTAGCCAGGAGATGTGCGTTTGAGACCATTTTTGTAAGTCTCTTTTGCATTGTTGGGGAAGCGTGAGGTAATTTAGTTTCAGGATTTCTTCTATTGTTGGTGCTATTTTTACGCCTAGGTATGTTAGTGATGTCTTTCTCCAGTCAAAGAGGTAGTTATCTTTCAGTATTGTTTTGGTGGCTAGTGGGAGTCCGACGGGAAGGGCCTGGGTTTTATCTTGATTCAGGCGGTAATGTGAGATGTCGCCGAATGTTTTTAGGGTTTCCATGAGGGGTGGCAAAGACCGCTGTGGGTCCCCTAGCGTTATCAGGATATCGTCGGCGAATAGCGCCAATTTATATTCCTGTCCTCGAATTGTGATTCCTTTTATGCAAGGGTCTGTGCGTATTTTTTGGGCCAATGGTTCTAGCGATAGGATGTAAAGGAGGGGGGATAGGGGGCAGCCCTGGCGTGTCCCGTTAGTGATCGTGAATTGGTTAGATAGGAAGCCACCGTGAGCTACTTTAGCTGCTGGTGATGCGTAGAGTGCCATGATTCCTTTGATGAATTCAGCAGGGAATCCATATTTGGAAAGCACTTGTCGCATGTACGTCCAGTTGAGTCGGTCGAAGGCCTTTTCCGCATCTAGTGCTAGGAGGAGGCCCCCGACCGACCCTCTACCCATTGAGGTTAATATGTTGAGGGTTTTCCGGGTGTTGTCCGATCCCTGTCTCCCCCCAACAAACCCCGATTGATCATTGTGTATCAGTTGTGCTATTATCTGGGCTAGTCTGTTGCTCAGTATCTTTGCATATAGTTTGGCGTCGCTATTTAGTAGAGATATTGGCCTAAAGTTTTTGCAGATATTTGGGGGTTTCCCTGGCTTGGGTAGCGTGGAGGTGTGGGCTAACAGCATTTCTGAAGGTAGAGTTCCCATGTCGTTACAGTGTTGGTATACGTTTAAGAGGTGTGGTGTAATGTGTTGGGAGAATACTTTATAATATCTGTTCGGAAGACCATCTGGTCCTGGTGCTTTGTTAATCAGTAGGTCTGCTATGGCTTTAGCTAATTCTTCAGCGGATATCGGTTGTTTGAGTTTGTGGATGTCGTCTTGTGTAAGTGATGGTAAGGTAATGTTTGCCAGAAAGGCGTCAATGGTAGTCGAGGAGGGTATTTGCACTGTCTCGTCATCTTTTAGATTATACAGTTTGTGGTAATAGTTGGCAAATTCGTTTACAATTTGTTTCGGATCTAACATTTTTGAACCATTGTTGTCAATAAGGGAGGCAATCCTGGAGGCGACCGATTTTTTTGTTTGAGTTGTGCAGCCAGTTTTGCTCCGGCTTTGTTACCATAAGTAAAGTATTTGTGTTTGGATTTTTGTAGTAAGTAAGTGGTTTTGGCCAGTTCAAAGTCTCTTAGTTGTGACTGGGCTTTTAGTAAGGCTGCTTGTGTAGTGGGTGTTTGAGATTGTTTGTTTATTTTTATGTGTGAGTGCAGTTATCACTTCTATTAATTTTACATATTGGGCTTGACGTGCTTTTTTTGCTTGGCTTGCGTGTTTGATGAAGCTGCCTCGTATCACAGCCTTATGGGCTAGCCATAGGTATTCTGGCGTGGTATCTGGTCGTGTGTTTTCAGTAAAATAGTTTTGTAGATCTGTGGTAATCTGTGAGATTATTACTGGGTCGTTGAGCAGAGATTCATTGAGTCTCCAGGTTGATCTGCCGGTAGACGGGAATTGCTCAGTTAGAGTTAGGGTGATGGGGGGGTGATCAGACCAGGAGATAACACCAATATCTGTGTTTATTAGTCTTGTTAGAGATGTGGCCTTAATGAGGAATCTATCGATTCTAGAATAGCTGTTGTGTGCAGCTGTATAGCAGGTATAATCTATGTCTGCCGGGTGTGATATTCTCCATGGGTCTATAAAGTTGTGTGTCGTTAGTGTGTGACATATTTGGGATGTTTGTTTGTGGCGTTGTGTTAGTGTTTTGGAGGTTACCCTTTTGGAGGAGGATGAGTCCATATTTGCGTCCAGGAGAAAGTTAGTGTCGCCTCCAAGAATTGCCTCCCCAAAGCTGTACCTTGACAAGAGACAAAACATATTATCTATGAATACAGGTTGGCTTTCGTTTGGGCTATATACATTCATCAAAGTATACGGTTGGTTGTTGAGACGGCATTGTAATATCAGATATCTGCCCTTTTTATCACTGATTTTGCGAATGAGTTCAAAGACAACTGATCTGTGAATTAGGATCGAAACTCCTCTTTTTTTTTTATGGTAGCAAGTGTGATAATCTACAGGGAACCAAGGGGAGGTGAATCTGGGCGTAGATCCCCATTTAAAATGGGTTTCTTGAAAAAAGGCCACTTGTGCCCCATGTCTTTTGGCCTCTTGGAGGGCTAGTCTGCGTTTATTGGGTGTATTTAAACCCTTGACGTTAAGAGAGAAGAATTTTAGTGGCATGTTGCTTGGTTTTATGGTGATATTCGGGTAGACACTTATGTACCTTCTCCAGTAATGGAGTGTTTTGGGCGTTAAAGTTTGTTACCGAGACTGTGAGAGGGGACTTTTTTGGGTGCAGGGATAGGGTTGGGGTTAAACTATGTACACTTGCCCGTTAGCCTCGAGGGCCTGATGCAACAGTGTGCAGACGGGTATTTAATGGCTCACTAGTGGGCCGTCGTTAGGGGTCAGTGGAAGTTTGGTATGAAATAAATTGGTATTCCAAAGTGGAATAGATAATTATATTCGCAGTCTTAACACTTGTATTCTACACAATATCAGTTATAACAATCGAAGGTTGAGCAGTGTGGGTTTTCCGCCAGCAGTGGGCCTATGTGAGGTGGCCACTTGTGCGGTATCAGTCATATAGTAATACAACATCAATAGTACTAGCTGCAAAGTAATACAACACTTTTAAGTGCAATAAGTTACGTGTCCAGGAGCGTGGTAGGGTGATGGTCAAGGCTGGTAGTTTCTGCGGCCTTGTGGAGTATTGTTGATCCATGGAATTTGTTGTCAGTCTCTCGCCATTATTCGTGGCGGTGGTGTGTCGGACTTTTGTTTTCCGCTCTGTGAAGCAGGGATGGGGATGTTCCAGTCTTCCAGAATCTGTATGCCGTCTTCAGGCGTGAGGATTGTGCGGTCTGCTCCATTGCGTTTGACGAGTAGTTTAGTAGGGAAGCCCCATTTGCATAGGATATTGGCGTTTCTGAGGGCTGTTGTAATCGGTGTAAATGAGCGTCTTTTGGTCATCGTGGCTGCTGATAGGTCAATAAATAGTTTTATATCCGTGTATTCTTCTGGTAGAGATGAATTGAGTCTTGACGTTTGCATTATTTGGTCCTTGACCGTAAAATAGTGGAGTCTGGTTATGACGTCCCTTGGTATGGTAGCGGGCAGGTGCCGTGGCTTGGGTAGCCTGTGGGTCCTGTCCAGGCGGAGGTCTGCGTCTGTCATGGATGGGATCAGAGATTTGAACAATTTTTGCACATAATGTGTAAGATCCTGTGGGCTGACATTCTCAGGTATACCACGGATCCTTATGTTATTTCGTCTGTCCCTATCCTCATTATCTGCTATTTTTCCTTCCAGATATTTAACTTTGTTTTCCAGTGCTGTGTGTGCATCTGCTAGCTCATTGTGAGCAGTTAGGATACCCTCCGTGTTTTCTTCTAGATGGGCTGTTCTGTCCCCTATTACTTGTATGTCAGCTCTAATGTCTGCAGCTATGCGCTGGAGATCTGAGAATAGGGCTGATTTTAATTTATCCAGCATAGTACTCACTGAGGCATTCGTGGTAGGGATGGAGGCTTCACTGCTGTGGTAGCTTTGGGAGTCTTCCCCTTCTGCCTCGTGTGTGGGTGAACCATGCGGTCCGACGCCATCTTGGTCTCCTGAGTGCTCCGGTTGTTGCGAGCTCAGATGTGAGTCAATTGTTTTTTGCTTTAATTTTTTTGACGATTTAGTCGTCATTATGTTCGGGATGGGGTTGGCGGTGAGATGGGCTGAGTTTGGTGGCGGATTTGCTGCGATACACGCTGTGGGGCCCACTATCTCGGCGGAGCTCTCCTTCTATGCAACTGCTTCCATGTGGTTCGTGGCCACGCCCCCGCTAAATGTCATTTTACTTACAAGGCCCCAGCCCTTTTGGCTGGGGTTAAGTCAGAGCTGGTACTACATCTTAGGTTCAGTCAGTTACAGGCAAAGAGACCGAGTTTTCTCCTCCATCTGGTTTTTATTCAGTGTAAGTAGGCTGGCCTGTGATGTCACTGCCAGAAGCACGTGTCTTCCTACACACTCCCCCTAGTGGTGCCCCCAAAGCATTACACTAAATATGCTTTCTTTATGATGTAAAGTCATTAATTAATAAATACCATTACAGATGTTACTGACATTTTAAGGCCACCTTAGATTAGGTAATTTATCAGCTTTTCTAATGGTCAGGGACATTAGTGTGTGAGAAACAAGGCATCATACAAGATGCAGATACAGCAATATTTATAGGGGACTCCGGGACTATGCTGTATTAATACTAATCTTTTATTGTGCTCCCTAAGGAAACCCAACAAGGTGCAAAGGCATTGGACCAAATGATTTTATACAGATATATTTCTGAATAAACAATTTTTGCCATATACCTCGCTGCAGTCCTCATTTATAATAAAGACAAGTGACCTGGATGGGCAGTGGGCTCTAGCCCCCCATATAGCTGGGGATCTACACTGAAAAATCTTTACTTCTTGTGAGTGCAATGATATTGTAGTTTTTTGTAACTGTACATTATATTGTATGTGCCTTATGTTCACAGCTGTATCTACATATAGTTGGTTTTATAGACTACTCCCGTCAGCCAGCAAGCTTGTAACTCTATTTAGCAAGGTCTTGGTCAACAACTGGTCAGGGTATTATTTACAAACTGTACTGACTGATGGCAATAATTCCACTTTATCAGAATCTCTTAGAGAATGGGTCGCTGTCTACTGGAGTACCTGTAGAATGTTAATTGTTAGACAATTGCAAGTTGATTAAAAATGGCATAGTACACTATAGGCAATTGTTAAGTGTCTTTGCCTATAGAAAGGTTAAAGGGTCCTGTCTGTCAGGGCTTACCTTTGTTGGAGTCCGTAGTGCAGAGATGTATGCTCACCCTTGCAGGTAATCACAGTCCATGGTAACCAGGTGAGAATCTACCTGGGCTGTGAATCTGTACACAGGGGCTTGGCAGGAACAATAACCGGGTACGTAGAAACAGACATGGGCAAATCAGTAGTCAGGCCAGGCAGCGAACAGACAATAACTAAATATCCAAAAGCAGGGGTCACAAGCTAAGTCAGTCTGTAAATCAAGGCAGCTACAGGAAACCGGAGACAATGAACTGACACTGCCCTCAGGGTGAAGAAGTGTTATATACCTGGATAATGAACAGCTCATTTGCAAATTGCCTCAGGTGGACTTAAAGTGACAGGTAGTAGCCACAGGAGAAGTCCAGCCCCCTAGTGCTGCAGACAAGGCAAGGTTAACAGGGCTAGAAACACACTAATAGAACAAGTTTAGCAGTGGCTCAGAGGCAGGAAAGCAGGCATAGGATACCGAAGGACCCAGGATCAAATCCCCTGTAAGACACCTGTGTGGTGGCCACGCCTAGTCGTCTGGATGGCACGGGCAGAACCGTGACACTGTCATGCCCATAACAACATGTGCTCTTTTTTTTAAAAGAGCATTCAATTCTAGCAAACATACAGATTTGGAGAAATAGGTCTTTCTCCCACCTGTCAATTCGTTGGCATAGACTAATTGCAGAAGATTAGACTGGAAGGGGGAGCATATTAGACCCCACACAGGTGGTCATTCTGCTCTCTACAAGCATAGTAACCCCATCCCATCCTCTGTGGTTGCTCTGGTAACTCCCTAGGTAACCCTGCTAGTTCTTGCTAGGTAGTATAGGAATGTAGTGACTAATGTTTAGGCGCCACCCTGTTGGCAATGAAGCAAACGTGTGTCATACGGGGGGTTTGCCCTGTTTGGGGAAGGCATCCTCAAGCAGGACATTACAATGACAACCACAGGAGAAGCGAGGGCAGACGGGAGGTGGGTATTACAGACGTGTAACACCCACCTCTGTAAGGACAAGGCAACACTGGATCAATGGGTAAGGGTAAGTACCTGACAGACTCTCTTTAAAGTCCAATTACCATTACATCACCAGCAATACACTATGGAAACTATTGTACCTTTCTATAAAAGCATACATACATGGCAGGTTTAGAAGATAGTATAACATACTGATTTTATAAATAGGACTTTATTTTTGCACTATAGCACTTTCTTCACTGTGTGATATACTTTAGTTTTACCTTGTTTTTTACCCTAAAAGGACATAATATTTATTCAAATAAATGTTCAAAGTTAGGAGTTACCTCTTGATCCTGCTTCTCATTTTTCCTTCTTGCTAAATATAATGAATCCACTGGGACTGGGATTAACCCCATTTAAATTCTGGAAGGACCACTAGCCTGCAAGGACAATTAACCCACCTCTTTGTAGTTTTGTTTATTTTGGGCAATTGCATTTTACTTTTGTTAAATATATATTACCGAGTTTTTAGAACTATTAAAACTAAAATCATCATTTGCTATTCTGCTATAATTCTAAATTAACCATTGTGCATTTCTTTCCAAAAGATTTGTCAACGGCCAAGAAATTGTCTTCCACTTTGGAAACTCCTATTTCGTCTCCTTCATGTCTAAGCCAAAAAAGCAGCAAGCAATATGAATATCATTTTGAGGCAGAATGCTCAGTGCTATATCAAGCTAGGAAAAGAAGATGTATGAGATGTGCTACTGATTCATCAGTGAATCAAGAAGAAAATCTCACCAACCTTTATACAGTACAGTCAGAATATCAGTCTACTCATATCAAAGGGGAATCTGCTTCACGTGAAGAAGAAAATCTTCCAGACAATGGCAGTTATACACCCCTAGAAGATATACAGACTGATGATCAGTTGACTAAAATTAAGGATGAATTGGCTTCTTGTGGAGAGGGAAAACCCACACACACTGCTATTTATACACCAACAGGACAAGCAGAAACAGAATATCCATCTACATATATTAAGGAGGAACATGCCTCGTGTAAAGGAAATTTCACATACAATGAGATGAATACACCCATAGACCATACACAGACAAAATATTTGTCAACACATATTAAAGAGGAACCAGACACTTATGAAGGAGACTATCTCACAGTCATTTATACACCCACTGATTATATATGTCCAGATGATTCATCTAACCATGTTAAGGAGGAATCGTCCTCCTGTGAAGAAGACATTGACATTGATACACATTCGGCGCAAACACAGACAGAATATGCATCAACTCAGGAAGAAGCATTGACATCTGGTAATGATTGTACCCCATATTGTATAACTTACACGACAGAGAAATCATCTTCACTTTCTGACTCTGAAAAATGTCCTTCAAAGAATGCTCAAATGGTTAAACAAAAAAGAACTCACACAAAGCCAAAACCATATACTTGCTCTGAATGTGGGAAATGTTTTACGCAGAAGTCAAATCTTACGACACATTTTAAAATTCACACAGGAGAGAAACCATATTCCTGTCCTGAATGCGGAAAAAGTTTTATCCAGAAGGGTCTTCTCGAAAGACATCAAAAAACCCACACAGGTGAGAAACCATATTCGTGTCCTGAATGTGGAAAATGCTTTACACATAGCCAGTATCTTGTTCAGCATCAAAGGATTCACTCAGAGGTGAAGCCATATTCCTGTTCTGAATGTGGGAAATGTTTTAACCAGAAACAAAATCTTAATTCACATCAAAGACTGCATGCTGGTAATGCAGATTCATTTCCTTGTTCTGAATGTGGGAAATGTTTTACGCACAAATCAAGTCTTACCAAACATCTTAAAATTCATACAGGTGAGAAACCCTTTTCTTGTTCAGTATGTGGCAAATGTTTTAGACACAAGTCAAACCTTACTACACATTTTACAATCCACACAGGAGAGAAACCGTATTCTTGTTCTGAATGTGGGAAATGTTTTAGCCAAAAACCACATCTCATTCAACATCAGAGGCTGCACACAGGAGAGACACCATTTTCTTGTTCAGAATGTGGGAAAGGTTTCAACCAGAAACCCCATCTTGTTTACCATCAGAGACTTCACACAGGAGAGACACCATATTCCTGTTCTGAATGTGGGAAAGGTTTTCGGAGGAAGGACAATCTTCTTTACCATCAGAAAACTCACAAAGGGGAAAAACCATATTCCTGTCCTGAATGTGGGCAGAGTTTCTCCAACAAGGTTGACTTTGATCACCACCAGAGCAATCATGATGGAGAGTTACCATGTATGGAACATTGAGAAATTACCATCAGTCTGATCTGATGGATGAAATATTGCACAGCTGAAATTCTGTATTCCTGAATGTAGAAAATGTAGCAAAAATGCAGATCTGAGTTCATTCCCTATAGAAAACCTTGCATTCAGAAACATAAATAGGAACTTACTGTAGCCACGCAAAGATTAGTGGAAGCAAAAGGTGTGTGTGTGTTTGTGTGTATATATATAATGTTTTTATTTTTGTTCCTTTTCAGATGTTTAAATTGAAGGGTTACTCCAAGCACCAGGATCACTTCATTTATTTGTAGTGGTCCTGGAGCTTGTATGTGCAGCTTTTCACTTTGAACCGCTTTACATACAGAAATTAATCCCACTGCCGGAGGTGGCAGTATCAGAGGGGCATCATTAGACACTTGGAGCCAAAGTTCCAGGGGGCTAATGTTAAAGAAGATTACAGCTAAAGCAGTTTACCTTGTTGAAGTGATTTATGAGTAAAGAGTGTGTCCTCTTTTTCCATTTTTAAATAAGTGAAGATTTCAATAGAAATTGTAAACAAAACCAGCATTAGGAATACAAGCTTGTATTTCTAACGCTATAATGTTTTGATGCATTTAGGTGAAGGTTTGCCTCCTAAACCGAAGTTATAATTCGAACAGAATAGTTTTACTCACATTTTATTTCCAGAGCCGACATCTGGTCCCAGCACCCACTAGATCTACCTTCTGCAATGTCGCACCAAGTTTTCTCTCTCATCCAGTCCAATTAAGCCAATGATTCATACGGAGGAGCATTGGGGCCACAAAGCGCATGCACGGCCAGAACTACGCTCCCCCAGTCAAATGGATGTTAGCTGTGAGAACCCAGTTTTGACTCTGTTCTCAAAGCTGAAGAGCAACTAGTGGCTGTCAGGAAGATAGCCACTGCAACCATAATATAAGTATTTCTGTATCTAAATGGAAAGGTTTATATCGCAGGGCTAAAACTAAAAAGGCCCGGGTGCCTTTAATGTCTCTTTTCATCCTGTCACATCCCCCTAGCTGTCAATCAGATACATGGTCCTGTTATTTCCTGGTTGTTTAGCTCAGTTAGCAGGCAAATGCCCAACTGCCTTGCAAAGACCTCTCATTGAGCTGCATTGGGAAGTCTGTGATTGGACAGACACAGAATGTCCTGGCTGGGGAAGAAGGGGAGGGTTTGCAAAAGCTACAGATAAGAGATATACCCCACAAAAGGAAAAAAAATACATATTTAAATTCATGCATGTTTTCATTGGGGATATAGCTACTATATAGTGTTTTCTAAAAAAATATTTAGGCAGTGGAGAGTTCTTGTTAGTTTCGTGCAAAATTGGTGCCAGCACACACAGAATCCTTGTGTGTGCATCCCGCCCCTCCATTAAGGGGGAGTTACTTCAGCGGTGGATGATCAGGCAGTGGGAGAACTTGGTGTTGGAGAGCAAGGAAAGTTTTAGCTGTGTTTTTTTTTTTTTGGGAGGTGGCAAGGGTTACCGTACCCACACAAAACAATGTTTTATTAGTTGGAGTAACCCTTTAATGTTTGTTGAACTAATACAATTAAACAGACCAGTCATTAGGTGTCATTGCTTAGATAATTTCAAATTAAAACAATGCTACCGACAGATCATTATTTTTATCTATCCAATAAGGAAATAGGTGATTAAATGTAAATTCTTTATTTTCAATCAAGGAACTTATTACTAGACTTTAAAATACCAGTGTGCAGATGAATCATTCACATATCAATGATAATTGAAAATTAGACTAGCTTTAGTATACTAATAATCTTAATTTTAATGACAGGAGGTGAGTATTTTGCATTAAACTCTCTTTACTAACTCCATAGCAGCAAAAAACCCCATAAAGAATAAGTACCAATCAGTGAGCAGCATAGCATATATAAGGGGCATGCTGCCTAAACTCTCCCTCTTTCTTTAAGCGTCATCCAAGTCCATAGATAAATGAAAGCGATATCCAAATCTGTAAATAATCGAAAAGCCATCAGGAACGTGACAGGATCCTCAACAGCCAAAATGGAACCATGTGGAACAAGAGGCTACACGGACCAGAAGACGAATCCGGAACGTCACTCGGGATGGCACCCATCAAAGGTCCTGGATTACACTGAAAGGAGAGTGTAGAAGGAGGTTAGGGACTGAGCCGCAACTGGTCACGTCAATTAATCCATCATAACCATATATAGGCCAATTAACCATAATAGCGATAGAAAAGCTATTGGCGAAAAAATTTAAACATGAAAAACTATCTGCCACCCACCTAAACCATCTAAGCGTAATATACTACTCGTAAGGCAGGTAACGGATGGACATGTGTAGTAGACCAGGTAAAAAAATTATATACAAAAGGGCGAACAATACCATACCTCAAGGAATAACATCAAATCAACAAAACCTTCACCTCGAATCCCAACCCCCCCTCCTCCACCCTGAGGTGAGACTAGGGAGGGAAAATACTCGCTTCCTGTCATTATTAAAACGAAGATTATTAGTACACTAGTTAGTTCACATTAGTTCAGCTAGTATAATCTTCAATTTTACAACATTACAGGAGGCTTCCTATTTTGCATTTTTAACACTGAAGCAGAGAAAATTCAGCCGAAAGAGGCGTGCGAAAATAGAAGGTACGGAAAGTAGATTCGCACGACCAAACTGCAGCTCGAAGAATATCCGCCAGGGACACGCCCGCTAAGAAGGCAGAGGAAGCCGCCGCACCGCGTACGGAGTGAGCCCCGAACGAGGGTTCAACCCCCGCAAGAGAAAGTATCCAACGAGCCAACGTGGTAACCGATACTGGGCCATGAGGTCTAACGTACGACACAAGGAGTTGGCACGAAGCAGAGCTCCGCAAAGGAGCGGAGATGGCCACGTATGTACGCAGGGCTGAGACAACGCACAGTTGAGGTCATCCAGAAAAAAAGGGGGTAATAAATTATGAGGAATCAGACTTAGTACGCTGAGAAATACGGAAGGTAACACCGGGGGCGATGGAAAAGGCATCCATGTCGAAAGCCCGAACATCGGACACTCTACGGAAGGAGACCAGGCAAAGGAAGAAAGCGAACTTAGCAGACAGTTGCCGAAGGGACAAGCCCTCGTTAGGAGGCCCGTCTTTGATAAAGCGTAGTACCATGCCGACGTCCCAGAAGTTGCATACCCCGAAGTAGGCGGCAGACCAGGGGGTCCTTGCCCACTGGGAGGTCCCCTATGGGAATATGAGCTGAACGAACCACGTTAACCGAGCGATAAGATCGGCCCACGGAAAATAAAGATAGTAAGTTCAAGATCGTGGGTACAGGAGCCGTAAACGGTTCTGAGTCCCGTCCCACACACCAAGGAGGTCCAAGCCGAAAGGGAGCAGCATCTCGTCCCGGGAGCCCAGGAGTCCCATAGGAGTTCTCTAGCAGCCTGTGATAGTCTGCCGACCTGCCCGGAACCCCGGAAAGAGTCCAAGCCACCAAGGGCAGACGGTCTTCTAGCAGTAGTGGATGACCGTTCCCTTTGGGTCCTCTCCGGGCCACCATATCCCTGTATCCAGTTACCAGTCGCTGCTATCCCTCCAGTGGCATGAGAACCAGTTCGCCGTGAGGTTGGTCTCCCCGGGGAGGTATTCTGCCCGGAGAGCAATGTTGCGGGGAAGGCAGAAGTCGAAGATGTCTTTCGTAATGTCCGACAGGAGACGGGAGCGTGCGCCCTGTGGGGATATGTATGGGATAATAATAGTAAACAGTGAGAATTGCCCACTAATTCAATTCTCAGATCCCAAAGATCGTTATCGTGTTAAGTGAAAAGTATTTCATATAAATAAAATCACAATGTTATAAAAATAGATTTTATTTTATAATAACAATTAATTAACAAATAATATTATGTAACATGCGTGACAATAATCAATGAATATCCAGTATAAAATGATATGCAATACAATGGAATGGGTATATACGTTTCAATGGCTAAACAGCATTTTCTGTCAAGACTTACATGATTTATGACTATCTTTCACAGAGAGAAAGTGAAGCTTTTCACAGCGAAGGGCCATAAAACCCTGGCTAAACAGTTAGGTCGACTGAATAACCCTTTCAATGCTGGCTAGATCTCCTAGGTAATTAAGATCTATTCTTATGTAATTTTAAATAAAATAACATTTAAATCAGTTCATTAGTCATTTCCTGGAACCATCCAATAAGAGAATCTACCATGTTATATAAGCAGAATTTAATTTGTCTAAAAGATATCTTATCTTATTTAGAGCAAATCAATACACCTGGATAAAAACAGCGGTATGCTAACACGTGATAATATCACATTAATATATAATTATTCTTAATTCCACCTGCAGAATGGAATGTTTATAATTATATATTCTTTAGTTTACTAAGATTTCTTAATATGGAAATCTGACCGTGATTTATCCAGTCATATATCATGCTATTAGTACATTTTAATTAATTTAATTAATTAAATAAAACCAGTATAATTACCACTTGAGTAGATATTTCATCCGATTGGTAGATAGTCTCAGGAACTTATTTGGATGTCTGTAGGTGCATGAGTTATGGTAAAAGGTGGTGTTGGTTAGAAAGTCAGTTAAAATTCTAAGTGTTAGAGTTTTAAGAGTAGAGTGTTAGTCTCAGATGTTGTCCTGGGTTTCTCTGCATGTCCGAGTTGGAGTCCCCAAACTTCCAATTCCTCTCTCCCTTTTTCCTTCTCTCAACTCTCTTTGTCTTAACTTTTAAAGGGAAAATTCACTAGTTGCTAGACCAATAGAAACACTGGGGGTGTGGTTATCTTCCAGATCGCAATTTAGTTATTTAATCTATATAGGGCAGTCTTGTCCCACTAAACATACCTATCCAGGAAAGAGTTAACTTTTCTTGGTGGCTATTCTGACGTCATTTCTGCCATAACTTACTTTTCCTTTCACTTCAAAGGGTTTTCTCTTAGTTTTGTCCAGACTTAGTGTCCGCAATTCCTGCTATAATTTCTGATATGGCAGTTCATGAACTAAGTTTCACCTTAAATTTACAATGGGGTCTTGTACATATAAATTTTATTATTTAATCTTCTCTGTCACAAATGTCTGGGTTTAGAATTGATTATATTCCATTAGCATTTTAGACAGTCTATCCAACCCCCGTTCTCCTTATCACTTGGTTTGTATATACTATGCATTCCTTTCCTGCTCTGGGAAAGTGGTTAGTTTTACAGAGAGAAATCTTGTGTCATTTTGTTAGCTTGAAAATAACAAAATGGAGTCTGCTCTGTTCAAAAGTGACTCCGCATATACACTTTTAATTTCTATCATAGCACAAGATGTCTTCCGATATAAATACCCTGACAGCCCCCCAGTCGATTTATATAGCGAACTGCCGACACATTGTCCATGCGAAGGAGGATGCAGCAGTTGGATCTCTTCCGAGCAAGGCTGCCGATCGCAAAGGAGCCCGCCAGTAGTTCCAGACAATTTATGTGCATCGTGAGCTCCTGCGTTGTCCACACACCCCCTGTGGACATTGTTCCGCTGGTCGCACCCCAGCCCCATAAGCTGGCGTCAGACTCCAGGATAACGTCCGGTGTGTCTCTCTAAATATGGCCTTGCCGTCCCAGGCTTGCATGCTGTCTAGCCACCAAATCAGTTCCTGGCGAACTTCCGGTGTCACCGATACGGGCTGGTCATATGTGGGCTTCTGACGGAGACACTTTGTCTTGAGGTGTTGGATCGCTCTGTAGTGCAGGGGGCCCAGAAATGGCTCTTGCGACCCATTTTTGACTCTCCACAAGTTTAAAGGGATAATCCAGACGTGGACCCCTTGCTCACGGTGCCTAGGGAGATATCAGCTATGCCTCACTGATGATGCCTAACAAGGCTGAAACGATCGTCTGGGGTTGCTGTATCTCTCGTGCAGAGAGAACTTGCTGGTATTTCGGATCTGGACTGCCCATGTGGGTGGGACCAGTCTGATATGCTTCAGATATGTTCTCTCTGTAATGGCACAAGATGAGTAAAAATCAGCTTGAGAACTGAGCGGGGACCGACCGAAGGGCAGGCTATTTCAGCTGCTGCCCGTTCTCAGTATTCTCTTGCGACCCATTTTTGACTCTCCACAAGTTTAAAGGGATAATCCAGACGTGGACCCCTTGCTCACGGTGCCTAGGGAGATATCAGCTATGCCTCACTGATGATGCCTAACAAGGCTGAAACGATCGTCTTGGGGTTGCTGTATCTCTCGTGCAGAGAGAACTTGCTGGTATTTCGGATCTGAACTGCCCATATGGGTGGGACCAGTCTGATATGCTTCAGATATGTTCTCTCTGTAATGGCACAAGATGAGCAAAAATCAGCTTGAGAACTGAGCGGGGACCGACCGAAGGGCAGGCTATTTCAGCTGCTGCCCGTCCTCAGTATTCTCTTGTGACCCATTTTTGACTCTCCACAAGTTTAAAGGGATAATCCAGACGTGGACCCCTTGCTCACGGTGCCTAGGGAGATATCAGCTATGCCTCACTGATGATGCCTAACAAGGCTGAAACGATCGTCTGGGGTTGCTGTATCTCTCGTGCAGAGAGAACTTGCTGGTATTTCGGATCTGGACTGCCCATATGGGTTGGACCAATCTGATATGCTTCAGATATGTTCTCTCTGTAATGGCACAAGATGAGCAAAAATCAGCTTGAGAACTGAGCGGGGACCGACCGAAGGGCAGGCTATTTTAGCTGCTGCCCGTCCTCAGTATTCTCTTACGACCCATTTTTGATGGCCCAGAAATATAGCCTGTATGGATGCGGAAAGGTGTCCCACGATTCTGGCCAAGTTGCGCAGAGGGATGGACTCGCAGCGGAGGACCCTGCGGATCTCCTTCTGAATAGACGAGATCTTTGATGGTAGTCTCAGTGCAGGACGTGGAATCGATATCGAATCCTAGAAATTGAATCGACCGAGATGGACTCATTGCCGATTTTGTTCGGTTTACGACGAAACCCAGGGATTCCAACAGTTCCACGGTGAAACAAGTGTGTTCTCACCGTCTGAACTCCTCGGAGCAGAAGAGAAGAATGTCGTCCAGGTAGATAATGCAGCGGATGCCCCTGGAGCCTAGGTGGGCAATCACCGGTTTTAGGAGCTTGGTGAAACACCATGGGGCAGAGCTGAGTCCAAAAGGGAGGCAGGTGAATTGCCACGGTAGGCCGTGCCATAGGAATCGCAGGAGTGGACAACAGTCCGGGTGCACCGGGACTGACAGGTAGGCGTCCTTTAGGTTTAGCCTTGTGAACCAGTCGTGGTCTCGGAGGAGGTCCCGAAGGAGATGGATGTCCTCCATTTTGAAGTGGCGATACATGACGTGTGCGTTGAGGTCTCGCAAATTGATTACTGGTCAGAATTCACCCGTCTTTTTCCGGACCAGAAAATATTGCTGAAGAAACCTCAGAAATCGATGGCCAGTTGGATGGCCCCTTTGTCCCGCAGTTCCTGGAGTTCCACGTCGATGAGACGGCGGTCATGGGCCGAGAAGTAAATAGGGCGTGGTAGAGCACCCTGCGCTGGGGTTCCCACGAGGTCTATTCGGTATCCCTCAACTGTCTGCAGGATCCACAAATCCGAGGAAAGATCTGCCCAATTCTGGAAAAAAAGGGAAATACGGCCCACAGTGCGGGTGGTTAAACTGTAGGGAGCATGTATGCCTACCTGGGGTGAAGCGGGAACGTCTACGTCCGCGACCTCTAGTCGAGCCTCTTGCGTAGGAGAACTGTGGCCTGTAATCCCTTGCTGGGTAGAATGGTGGAGGTTGGGTGGAGCGGGGGCCTGGTGGCACGGTGGCACGACCCCTCTGTCGACCAGCCCTTCCAAAAAAAAAAAACCCTCATGGGGTTACCTCTGAAGACTTTGCACATAGAGGATTGCGCTTTGTTGAGGGACGTAAATACGTTATATTCTTATTCAGTTCCTTGAGGAACGCTTCTCCAAACAACATTCCTTGTGCCTGGGGCCCTATTTCCTTAGTGCCCAGTTCTGACAATTTTCCGTCTATGCGGAATACAGGGAGTGCAGAATTATTAGGCAAGTTGTATTTTTGAGGATTAATTTTATTATTGAACAACAACCATGTTCTCAATGAACCCAAAAAACTCATTAATATCAAAGCTGAATATTTTTGGAAGTAGTTTTTAGTTTGTTTTTAGTTATAGCTATGTTAGGGGATATCTGTGTGTGCAGGTGACTATTACTGTGCATAATTATTAGGCAACTTAACAAAAAACAAATATATACCCATTCCAATTATTTATTATTACCAGTGAAACCAATATAACATCTCAACATTCACAAATATACATTTCTGACATTCAAAAACAAAACAAAACAAATCAGTGACCAATATAGCCACCTTTCTTTGCAAGGACACTCAAAAGCCTGCCATCCATGGATTCTGTCAGTGTTTTGATCTGTTCACCATCAACATTGCGTGCAGCAGCAACCACAGCTTCCCAGACACTGTTCAGAGAGGTGTACTGTTTTCCCTCCTTGTAAATCTCACATTTGATGATGGACCACAGGTTCTCAATGGGGTTCAGATCAGTGAACAAGGAGGCCATGTCATTAGATTTTCTTCTTTTATACCCTTTCTTGCCAGCCACGCTGTGGAGTACTTGGACGCGTGTGATGGAGCATTGTCCTGCATGAAAATCATGTTTTTCTTGAAGGATGCAGACTTCTTCCTGTACCACTGTTTGAAGAAGGTGTCTTCCAGGAACTGGCAGTAGGACTGGAAGTTGAGCTTGACTCCATCCTCAACCCGAAAAGGCCCCACAAGCTCATCTTTGATGATACCAGCCCAAACCAGTACTCCACCTCCACCTTGCTGGCGCCTGAGTCGGACTGGAGCTCTCTGCCCTTTACCAATCCAGCCACGGGCCCATCCATCTGGCCCATCAAGACTCACTCATTTCATCAGTCCATAAAACCTTAGAAAAATCAGTCTTGAGATATTTCTTGGCCCAGTCTTGACGTTTCAGCTTGTGTGTCTTGTTCAGTGGTGGTCGCCTTTCAGCCTTTCTTACCTTGGCCATGTCTCTGAGTATTGCACACCTTGTGCTTTTTGGCACTCCAGTGATGTTGCAGCTCTGAAATATGGCCAAACTGGTGGCAAGTGGCATCGTGGCAGCTGCACGCTTGACTTTTCTCAGTTCATGGGCAGTTATTTTGCGCCTTGGTTTTTCCACACGCTTCTTGCGACCCTGTTGACTATTTTGAATGAAACGCTTGATTGTTCGATGATCATGCTTCAGAAGCTTTGCAATTTTAAGAGTGCTGCATCCCTCTGCAAGATATCTCACCATTTTTGACTTTTCTGAGCCTGTCAAGTCCTTCTTTTGACCCATTTTGCCAAAGGAAAGGAAGTTGCCTAATAATTATGCACACCTGATATAGGGTGTTGATGTCATTAGACCACACCCCTTCTCATTACAAAGATGCACATCACCTAATATGCTTAATTGGTAGTAGGCTTTCGAGCCTATACAGCTTGGAGTAAGACAACATGCATAAAGAGGATGATGTGGTCAAAATACTAATTTGCCTAATAATTCTGCACTCCCTGTAGTGCTGCTCTTTGACTCTCAGAAGAGAGCGAAACGTTAGCGTTTCCCATAAATCAGAAACATCTCTGCGCCCACTCTCGTACGTCGTGTGCCCATTCCCTGACATTATCGGCTGTGAACGAGTCAGCTTTTGCATAGGCGTCGTCCGCCAGGTACATGATGCGGGAGAGGGGGCCTATGGTATCCAGCAGCTTGTCCTGTGCTCCCCAAAGTCCTTTCTCCTCTTCTTTACGACGGTCACGTCCGCACCTCATCATAAAGGTCGACATCACCTTATCAAATTCAGGCATCTGAGCCACTTTGTCTGGCAGGGAAGGGCGTGGGCATTCTGACCGGAGTCGGCTACGGACCTCCTTGTCCAAAGGTTTACGGAGCCACATGTGCATAAATCTGGCGATTTGCTCCAGAGGCGACCACTTCCCTGACCGGGGGTGTCGAATATTGCGTGGGTCGAACATAGCTTGGCCCATAGGATCCAGGATGGTGTCTGAGTCAAGAGAGGGAGGTCTGCCTCCGCAGGACCATCCGCTATGTCTGTCTGGGCCGCACCCGATATGGTCTCACGCATAAAAGCGGAGATAGATATATCCTCTGAACCCCAATCGTCTACCTCAGATTCCGATAGTTCCGCCTGCCATTCGTCTAGGACGGACATGGAGTGTGACAGTGCCTGTGCTTCTTCTGAGGAGGGGTCCTGACGTGGGGTTGGGGTACGGATCTTTTTTATTATGTTTGGCAGGAGCCTTACCCTTTGAATTCCTTGGTCTAGCGCCCTCGCCTTTCCAGTGGCGTTTAGCCGGGCGAGTGTCACCTCTGGCCTGAGAGTCCGAGGCTTCAGAGTTTGACTCATGGTGGGACAGTCTGTGGAGGGAGGGTTTGGGCAATTCGGGGCCCACAGCGAGCACCTTGTATAGTGCCTTCTCCACAGACGCGGCGACGGCCGCATTAATCTTAGATTGGAAGTCCACAGGGGTATTCTGGGAATCTTCCATAGTGATAGGGTAGGCTTGTGATAAGTCACTTGCTAGGCAAAGTTAGTGGCACCCAGGTCTTATGGCACAGAAACAGGCGTGGGGTCAATATCTCGATGTGGTTATGGTATCGATCCGTATTATAGACCCCAACAGGGTCCAATTTGGTGGCCAAATCGAACTGGGGCTCACACGGTGAAGAGGCAGCAACAGCTTGCCTCTCAATCAGCAGCACAGTACCTTAGTACAATAATCCCAGTTGCATAGGGATTGAGACCCTTAAGTGCAGGCCACAAATATATACAGTCAGCAACACTGTAGACAGATGTGGATGAAGTTGAAGACTTGATGGGAGTTGCAGTCCTCAAATCAAGGTAGTTATGTCCAATGTAAGTGAATCACAAGGGTGTGTGAGCATCCAGTGTGTCCCAGTATACTCGTGGAGGTGAAAAATGGCCCCCCGGATCTCGCGAGATGAGATATCCAAGATGGCCACCGCGAGAGGAGAGAAGGTCACAAAAGCCGTGGGCTGTAGTAAGCCTGATCGCAGCAAAATTTCATCCGGTCCGTCTGGTGCCGCGAGCGTTCACGGCCGCCTAGGACGGCGAAAAGGGGCGAAATTAAGCCTAAGGGACAGGGCAGAGGAGGGGAAGACCCAGGAGCCCGGGGGATGGAAACAAATCCCAGGACCCCCAGGCAGCCATCTGTACTAGCAGGATAAAACTAGAACATAAACAATCTAACTAGTCAAGTAAGTCAAACTATACAAACATAGTTAAAGGACCACTATAGTGCCAGGAAAACATACTCTTATTCCTGGCACTATAGTGCCTTGAGGGTGCCCCTGGCTCTAGGGGGAGGAAGGACGCTCGCTGGCGTCTTAGCGCGGAAGCCCTCTAGCGACTGTCAATGAGACAGCCACTAGAGGCTGGATTAACCCTAATATAAACATAGCAGTTTATCTGAAACTGCTATGTTTTATAGAAAAAAGATGGACCAGGCACCCAGACCACCTCATTAAGCTGAAGTGGTCTGGGTGCCTATAGTGGTCCTTTAAACATGAAAAACATAGTGAGGGAAGAGCAAAACTCTGACCTGTCTGTGGATGGAGCAGCAAAGAAAGAGGGAGAGTTTAGGCAGCATGCCCCTTATATATGCTATGCTGCTCACTGATTGGTCCGTATTCTTTGTTTTCTTTGCTGCTATGGAGTTAGTAAATAGAGTTTAATGCAAAATAGGAAGCCTCCTGACGTTGTAAAATTTAAATTTCAAAGATCTCATTCAGGGAATTTATTGTCGTTCTTAACAGTGTCTCGTAAAATGAGGGAGCAAGCTTTAAAAAAAAAAAAAATAAAAGAAATGGCTTAGTTAGTTCCTCATATCAGAATGTCATCCTCAGTGTATGTTGTACACTGACCCTTTCAAAGATCCAATCAGTTTCTATTTTCAAAGAAACTAAAACGCAAGAGATTGATAGGAGAAATGGGAAAACGAGGGGCTGTGCAGTATTAGGCTTCAAGCAGCTAGTTCAATGTAAACAGCAAGCATTAAGCTTCTAGTTAATATTTAACTATTTCTATATCAACCAGCATCAGCCTAAGGCATTTGTTATAAACCTGTGATAATGTAAAGACGATTTCTGACAGTCCCACTTCTAGAACAGCTTTATACCACACTATGATGTGTAAGAAAAACCCAGATGCATTAATTGTTTTATCTATTCATTGTGCTAGTCAAATGCTTAGATAAAAAGTAATCTTAACTAACTAGTTATTACCAGATATCCAATACAGTGAAGCTGCGTTCCCAAAACTATAAGCTGTTTAAGTGTCCAGCTGTTTGTGAACAAATAAAATGTTTGTCGGGTTTTGTCATATCTTCTAGCATCTCTCTCTGCTGGGCAGCCTGGGTGAGGATGAGTGATCTTCCGATAATTGCAGAGGCAGACGATTGGCATGCTGATACTACAACCAGGAAGATAAGCCCATAAAACCAGTGTATTCAGATTAAAGGACCACTACAGGCACCCAGACCACTTCAGCTTAATGAAGTGGTCTGGGTGCCAGGTCCATCTAAGTTTAACCCTTTTTGCTGTAAACATAGCAGTTTCATAGAAACTGCTATGTTTACATCATGTTTAATCCAGCCTCTAGAAGTGCGTCCGCGCTTCTCACTGTGATTTTCACAGTGAGAAGACGCTGCCGTCCATAGGAAAGCATTGAGAATGCTTTCCTGTGGACTGGCTGAATGCGCACGTGGCTCTTTCTGCGCATGCGCATTCAGCCAGGGACATCAGAAGAAGGAGTAGAGTCCCCAGCGCCGAGGGAGCCCGGTGATGGAAAAAAGGGATTAACCCCTTCCTCCACCTTCAGCTCCATGGGAGTGGGACCCTGAGGGTGGGGGCACACTCAAGGCACTATAGTGCCCCCACCCTCAGGGTCCCACTCCCGCCGGGCTCTAGCGGTGGAAGGGGTTAAACTTACCTCTTTCTCCAGCGCCGGGCGGGGAGCTCTCCACTCCTCCTCGGCTGAATGCGCATGCACTGCAAGAGCTGCGCGCACGCATTCAGCCAGTCTCATAGGAAAGTATTAAAAATGCTTTCCTATGGCCGCTGGCGTCTTCTCACTGTGAAAATCACAGTGAGAAGCACGCAAGCGCCTCTAGCGGCTGTCAATGAGACAGCCACTAGAGGCTGGATTAACCCTAATATAAACGTTTATTAAAAAAAGGGTTAATCCTAGATGGACCTGGCACCCAGATCACCTCATTAAGCTGAAGTGGTCTGGGTGCCTGTAGTGGTCCTTTAAGCCCACCACTATGTCTGAGATATACATTTATTATAGAGCATATATATGATATGCATTGTGCATTAATCTTTCAATGTAGGGTAATAACTGCTTGATCCAAGGATAAATCTGACTGCCATTCTGGGGTCAAGAAGGAATTTTTTTCCTAGCTTGTTGCAAAATTGTGCTTCAAACTGGCTTTTTTGCCTTCTTTTGGATCAACAGCAAAAAACAAATGTGAGGTAGGCTGAACTTGATGGACGCAAGTCTCTTTTCAGCTATGTAACTATGTGAGTATATACATTTATTTTATAAAAGGTAAAGCTGTATTTGTATGTGTGCGCTGTTCCTTAACCTGAATAGTGTATACATTTATCCCCCTGTCTCCACTGCAGCGCCATTGCTGAGATATGCATGTTCCGGCTATGCCCACCATTGCCTATTTATCGTTACTATAAAAATAGTATAGTGAAAATACTGCCAGATGAGATAAAACCACATATAGTCAAATATAGGTAAAACTCTTTCTAATGCTGAAAGTATGGCAGGAATGCTGTAAATAAGACAACTGTTACAAATGAATGGATTAATAGAATGTACCAAAGACAGTATTATGCAAATTGAATCTGAGCTGTTTGAAAAATTATAATTTTGTTATTGCACAACTTTGCAATATCTAATCTCTAATTGTTTACATTAAAAACCTACTAACAAATAACAGAAATATTAAACAGATTTGTTCTAAAAAATACCAAATAACCTGAAATATTGCATATCGTCTTTATGGTTTCCATACTGAGACCAGTAAGATGCAAGCTAACCCATGGTGAGAATGAAAGTGAAAGATAGCTGGTCAGTACTAGATAACTATGACCTACATCAATAGTCCAGTGGTGATGGTATAGTACCAAATAGAGACTCCAGGGATCTCGGGGCTGAACCCCAATAAATTATTCAAGAAAAAAACAGACACACAATATGTTCGTCACAGTGTCAAGGACAAATGTGACTCGCTGTGTTTCCTGGAAAGTTAGAGTAGGCCAGTAATAGTTCGATGTTAGATATATACACATACATTCTCATGTTTAGAGTAATTGAAATGTCACCAGGGAAGGCAGCAGCAACAAGGATCCTCCCGCCCTACATAAGGTAAGTGGGGGGGATATTTATTAACTAATGTGCCCCCACCTCCACAAATCACCCAAACATACAGCACCCTCACACACAGCACACAAACAGCACCCTCACACACAGCACACGACACCCACATACAGCACTCTAACAGGACCCTAACAAACAAACACACAGCACACTACCAGTACCCTCACAAACAGCACACGACACTCGCACACTTACAGGACCCTAACAAACACACAGCACACTACCAGTACCCTCACACACAGTACACTAACAGTACCCTCACAAACAGCACACGACACCCACACACAACACACTAACAGTACCCTCACAAAAACAGCACCCTCACAAACAGCACACTAACAGTACCATCACAAACAGCACACAACACCCACATACAGCACTCTAACAGGACCCTAACAAACAAACACACAGCACACTAACAGCACCCTCATAAACAGCACACGACACCCACACACAGCACACTAACAGTACCCTCACAAACAGCACACGACACCCGCACATTAACAGGACCCTAACAAACACACAACACACTACCAGCACCCTCACACACAGTACACTAACAGCACCCTCACACACAACACACTAACAGCACCAGCACACTAACAGGACCCTAACAAACACACAGCACACTAACAGTACTCTCACAAACACACCCTCACCCACATAGCACACTACCAGCACCCTCACACACACAGCAGTGTGTGTATGTATATATAATCTATTACACCTTATCACACAGATCACAACTCCCATCACTAATCTATTACACCTTATCACACAGA